TGTTCTTATAACTGAGTATTATTTTTGATGCCCACAGTATGTTACTGATCTTTGATTCCAGAAAGATGTCTTTGATTCCTTCAAGAGTGATGGGCTGGATTAATTAATCCAAGGAGTGCTCTTGTTCCATGCCGAGATGCTCCACGGCTCCACGCTTTATTTAGGAAATGAACATCACTTCAAATTGTCTCCATTTGGTGGGGTAGATTAATATTTTCAAGGAGTGCTTCATGCTCCATGCTTTTATTAAAGAAAGGGGCAACACTCAAATTGTCTTTCACTCAAATTGTCATGCTTCATGCTTTATAAAAAGAAAGTGACAGCACTCAAATTGTCTCCTATTATATTTCTTCACTTTGTTTCTGGATTATTTTCATTCCGGATATCTTATTTCTTCATAATCAATTCCATAAAATATTTAATCACAAATATTCTTGCCCTTATGAGTTGCTCCTTCCTTTTATAGAATCTGCATATACTAATATAACATTAGTCAAGACTTCTTTATGGATATTGATCATTATTAAAATTCTAAACTTAACAGGAATATGGGGAGGAGTACCCTATCAAGAATATTAAGAAATTGGATAGAAAGAATGACGTCACTGCTTGGGTCAATACTGTTGCTGAAACTCTCTCTGATTTCATCGAAAAAAGCAATGGCAACATTCCCTGAAGGTACAAATTGGTTCTTCATAGTATTGGCTACTCAATTGTTACATCATAAATAATTCTTTTTCTCTTTTTAGGGTTGGGCGACCAGTAAAGTATACTCCTTCCTCCCAATTTTTGTACCCTTTCTTTTTTCTCTTTATTCAACCAGTATACTTCCCACAAATGGAGTAGTCCCATCCTTGCATTCTATTGATACTTAGGTTCTGGCATTCACCTAACCTCCTTGGTAAATTTATACAAGTTTTAACAATATTTTATTTTTCTATATACTTCCAATCCTAAAGTTTTTTTTACCTCTAGGTATTTGAGATGTTAAAGAAGCAGCCTTTTTATCAACCAAACGAAGGCACTTACATGAGGCTCCTTGATCTTCTTGGAAGCTGTGGACAACCAGGGCAGGCTCAGCAACTTTTTGATTCAATGATTGAAGAGGGAATGGAACCCACATCAAAATTGTTTACGGCGTTGATTGGTGCTTATAGTAGAATCAACATACTTGACAAGGCATTTTGTTTTTCTTCACAGGATGATTGAGCTCCCTCATTGTCAGCCAGATGTTTATTCTTGCAGTATATTAATCAAGGCATGTGTGGACGCTAGCCGGTTTGATTTGGTTGTCCCGTTATGAACAAATTGTTGATCATTCCATAATCCTAATACTGTCACTCAAAATATAGTCTTGAGTGGTTATGGTAGAGCAGGCAAGTATGCAGAAATGGAGAAAGTGCTTTTAGGGATGGTAGAGAGTGCTGACAGCAAACCTGATGTATGGGCTATGAACACTATCCTGAGCATATTTGGCAACAAGGGGAAAATTGAAATGATGGAGAGATGGTATGAGAAATTCCGTAGTTTTGGGATGGAGCCATAGTCGAGGACATTTAGTATCCTCATTGGTGCTTATGGGAAGAAAAAGATGTATGATAAAATGTCATCAATAATCGAGTACATGCATAAACTGTCGTTTCCATGGACAACATCAACATACAATAATGTCATTGAGGCATTCTCAGATGCAGGTGATGAAGCATATGGAATGCACCTTTGATCAAATGCGTGCTCAAGGGATGAAAGCTAACACTAAGACCTTTTGTTGTCTCGTCAGAGGATATGCAAATGCAGGCATTTTTCATAAGATGATCGACACTGTCCAGTTAGCTGGGAAATTGGAGATTCCTGAAAAACACTTCATTATTCAATTATATTATTTATGCTTGTGCAAAGGCAGAGGACTTTAGGAAAATGGAGATCGTTTTCTAGCGAACGAAAGACCCGACAGAGAGATAAGTATGCAAAATCTCTTAACAATGCATTGGAGCATCCAGGCTACATCCAATATCTCTGAACTCAAAAAAAAAAAAAAAAGAATAACTTGGATTGCTAAGATCATCTAGCTGTCTTTCTGAAACTGATAACTGTCCACTATCATTGAGTTTATGAAGTTAAGAGGTGACCTAGGCATGCCCAAAAAACTTGTTGCTCTGTCAACTGTAGATTTGATGGTTGATTCTGGTATACTTAAAATTGAAATAAAGATTTTGTTTTCTATTGATATTTTTGATTTCTAACTTTTGGCATCTAGAGTGTCCTTTTCTCCCAATATTGAACTGCTATGTTAACAATACTTGCTATTTGAAGTTCAAGCTGGTTTTGCTCTGCCAGTACTTATAAGTTTTTGGAGCCTTGTACTATGTTCATTATAATGGATCTCGGGGAAAGGTAGGTGTTGCCTCCGTCGTGGATAAGACTTGAGAAGTGAGGTTGAGATGGTTTGGACATGTAAGGAGGAGATGCCCGAATACCCTAGTGAGGAGGTGCAGAGATTGACGATGGTGGGCATGAGAAGAGGTAGAGGTAGGCCGAATAAGTATTGAAGAGATATGATTATACATGATATGGTGCATTTTTAGCTTACCGAGGACATGACCACTGGTAAGTGGGTGTGAAGGGTAAAAATTAGGGTAGAAGGCTAATAGACAGTTGAGCGTCTTTCCTTTCATTCTAGTAGTAGTAGTGTTATTCTAGTATTTCCTTATTCTTTGTATTTTATTACTACCTAACTATGTTACTCGAACTCTTCAAAAATGTAGTTGGATGCGTGTCGGATCGTCCAAATTTAGTGCATTTTTGGAGAATCCGATACGGTTGCGACAAAACTTTTGGAGAATCCGAGCAACATAACTACTTAATGTTGCTTGTATTTTTGTTGTTCTAGTATCTTGTTTTATTGCTGCTTTGTTGACTTTTCCACTATCATATTTCTTCTCTATACTGTTATGATTTTTGCATACTTGCTTGGAGCCAAAGGTCTATCGGAAATAGCCTCTCTATCTGCACAATGTAGGGGTAAGGTTGTGTACTCACTACCCTCCCCAAACCACACTTGTGAGATTTTACACCGGATTTTTTGTTGTTGTTGTTCTCTCTTTCTTACTCCCTCCCTTTATAAAAGAGTGTCATAGTTTGACTTGGCTCAAACTTTAATAAAGGGAAGACATTTGAGATATGTGCTCTTAAATAAGTCATAGCATTTGCATGGATATAACACTTTAACATGTGATCCGAAACATGTCATAGCATTTGTGTGACTATAAATGCTTCCTATTAAGTAAGTAGTGAAAGATGCCAATTTTTTTTAAAATGGACAAATAAGAAAATAGTGTCAATCTTTTTGAAACAAAAGGAATATCTTTTACTAATTTGTCTTTTTTTATTCGGCGGTGAAAATATTGTTTGTGTTGCCAAAAATAGTACTGTTGAAATTCATTAGATACAAGGAAACCTTTAAATGGGACATGGAAGATACACCTTCTCCCAAAGAGAAGAAACTCCCTCTCAGTTGTGTAACAGATGCAAGATACTTTTTGAAGTTTTCCTTTGTGGCTATAAAATTATTATTTAAAGTTAATAAAAGTTTGAAAGAAATGCGTGTAACTTCTCAGAAGTTTGGTTCCTAACACATTCTTAGTTTGTAAATTTTAATAATACGCTTACCTTCATATTCTTTTCGGATAATTTGAGAGAACTCCCTCCAGGTTTCGCCCTATCACACTAATCTCCCTTGTGATTTACAATATTACGCTTATCTCCCTTATTTTGATTTTTTTGTAACCATTCTTTAAACTCATTTAAAATAAATATAAATAAAATATAATTTGACCGATCTGCCCTTTTTAATATTGAAAAATACGAACCAACCCAACCTATATACACCCCTACCTGTATATTTCCTTTTAGTAACGAGATGATATTTTAAACTACAAATAGACTATAATTGTTAAGCTTTTAATTTATTCTATGTAACAAAACTACTAATATATATTTTATTGTTATTACTGAAGAAGGTTATCCAATTTGTAAAATATATATGGAATGAGGTAGTCACGGTATCCCAGTAGCTTGACTTGCAAATATATAATATGCTCATGACAAAAGGCCAGAGTTGGTGACAATATTTACGAAGCTACGTTATTAATATTCGACATTAGTCTCTTGCCATTTTATTTATTTTATTTTTCAAAAATATTCCAAACATATCCAAATAAAATAGGGGCTACGTCGGTTTCATTAGTTCTTATGTTGTTTTCAAGGACCATTTTGATGACAAGAAAAATCAAACTTTCTCTAACACTCGAGTAATTAAATTCAAAGTAATTTCTCTAATTGAAAGAAATTAACATTAAAAGGGCAAATCTGTCAAATTGTATTATATTTATATCTATTTATATTTATTTTAAACAAGTTTAAAGAATGGTTAGAAGAAAATCAAAATAAGAGAGGTAGACGTAATATTGTAAACCATAAGGGAGGTCAGTGTGATAAGGCGAAACTTGGAGGGAGGTCTCTTAAATTATCCGTTTTCTTTTTCATATTGTCCATAACAAAATTATATCATAATATAATAGGAAAAAAAATGCCCCTATGTTGCTAAGTGCTAATAACCCTTTCCTACCAAATTGAACGCCAATGAAGGCAACAACGGCCATCAACTACCAATTAACAAATACACCAGTACCATGTGATATGTTTCATATTTCCTATTCTATTTCTAAATGAATTCTAAGGTTCCATTTTGTTTTAATATAATTTATGTAAAGCTTAACAATTCACTTAATAAGAGAAAACAATTATGTTGTTGATTAATTCTACTTTTAGTTCTGAGGGTCTTCCTTGATCACTAAGAAATGCACTAGCTTAAGTTAAGACAAAGAAGACGGAATTAAAGCATCATTTTCCTCTCTTTAAACCAATAGTAATAGATACAACAAGAACACAGAAATGGTTCAAATACTAAACATTAGTAGTACATTAAATTGGTGTGATTATCAGACTTACTAATTAGAGCATTATATTATTAGTAGTAGCCCCATGCACAGTGACTTCAGCTTCTATAACACAGGTGTCTTTGACCAGAAAACCAGCCCCAGGCAAACTGAAGTACCCAATCGATATAAATCTTGGCCATCCACAGAACGTATGTGATCCACTGAACCAATAATTGGCTGCAACCAAAAGTAGTACACATGAAAATGATGATATATATGAATGCTACCATCTTTTCAACATCTGACATCATTTCGTTTATATATAAAATAATACCGTAGAAGTACTGTTACCTTTGCCGAAGTAATTATTTGCATTGATTTGATCAAGGATACGCAATGTAAATTCTGCATATATTTGACTACCCTGAGATAAGCTGCTTGGTTCTGCCAATGCCAAGTATAGTGATAGATGGCTGCCTGTACCCCTCCCTTTTCCCTTGGGGTGTACCTGTATCTTCCTGTTTTAATTTATACATACATACCAATGGCATTATACTGACAGCCATTGTCAGTAGCTAAGCTATATGTAATTGAATCTCGTTTGTCAAAAAATTATACGGTACAGATAGAATACAATGACCTCCTTTTGTGCTTGTATAAGTTTTTGAACCTCTTGACATATGGGAAGCTAGCTTTTAGTGTAGTGTCAAAAGTGATTCAAAAATTGTTTTATATTGCAGCTTCGAATCACAGGTATGTCATTCTTGTATTTTTTTTGAATCCCTTACATTTCAGGTACCAGGACTAACAGTTATATTGAGTTAGACAGCTTGAGTAAGGAAGCGAGTACTATTTATGTTCTCCTTGCATGAAGGTCTTGGAGTCTTCACAATCCGCAGTGAGAGAAGAGAACTTGTCGATCTTCCAGGCGTGCTTATAGCTAATGGGGTCTTTAACCATGGACAAACAGTCGCCTCTACTTTTGAACTTTTCTTGACATACATAAACCTCTGCTCCTAAGACACATATGTCATCCACAACATACCCATTTGCTTGATTGTTGAAATCTTCTTGACTTATGAATCGATCAAATCCCCATTCCACCTTCATTGCATGGAATCTTCTTCCTTTTTGAACTGTCCTATCTGTTGTTGTAATTAAGCAGAAATGTACAGCAGACATAGCTTGATTCTTTCTCCTTCGTTATAAGATCCTACTTAAAAAAAGAAATTAAGGAGATGTAAGAGCAGTGACCTTGGAGCACCAAGTAATCGTCATTGTTTTGAGAGAAAAGGGCCAAATATACCTCTCTACTTTTATATATTATCTATATTTAACCTCTGTTATACTATTTGGTCAAATTTACCCCTACCGTTATACTATCGGGCCAAATTTACCCTTACAATCAGCAAACATTTAAAAATACCCCTTGATCTGTTAAGTAATCCAAAATATCCTAAATTCTTTTTATTTAAATTACTTGTAATTCTTCTTGCTCCATTATTTTCAAAAATTACTATTGATGTAAATGTTAAAGTTACTAGACTATACAAATTATTCATAATATTTTTTAATTACCAATACACCCATTTCTCTTTTTGTAATAAATAAAATTGGTTTAAAATTTTATTTATTTTTCAATCATATACACACCGTAGAATTTAGTGGGTCTATTTATTGTATATTATATGCAGTTGATCATCATGTATATACATGTATATTCAAATATATTTTGTCATTACCTAGTTAGTATAGAGTTCGATCGACTAACTTAAGAGTGCACAATGTGTAGACATTTAATTAAATCAAAGTTGAATTAGACAATGTAAAGTCTCCGAGGAACTTCAACTTCAATCACTAAGACTTGTAAAGTCTCCATACATTTGGTACAACGAATTCATTAAAATTGGGATGTTGTAAATACTTTTAGAATTTAGAAAAGCTACCTAATTTAGATTTTCAATTTACTATACTTTGTTTATTCGATTGTATTATTTAATATTTTTCTCTCTAATTCAGAAAGCAGGTAAATGCCAATTATTTCAAAAATAGTGGACCAAGAAGAACAACAAGTGATTCAAATAAAAGAAATTTGGAAGATTTTGGATTAGTTAACAGATCAAAGGATATTTTTAAAAGCTTGCTGATTGTAGGGTTAAATTTGGCCCGATAGTATAACGGTAAGGGTAGATTTGGCCTGATAGTATAACAGAGGTTAAGTATAGATAATATATGAAAGTAGAGGGGTATATTTGGCCCTTTTTCCTTGTTCTCATCAAGCAAAAAGAGGCGAAAAAGAGCATGGACCTCCCAACCTGAGGGACAAGTGAGCTTGCCTCCGCCATCATCAGATATATAGAAACGTGCTTCCCTTCTGCATTCTTGTTTTTGTTTCCTTTTGGATGAAACACCAACTTCCTGCACATCCAATTATTTGATACAATTTAAAATTTAAGAGACTAGTAATATTAATTAGATTCCACTAGTGATAAAGTTGCACCATTTATAGCCGCCAGCTTCAAAATAAGGGGAACTGTATTTCTCAATATTGTTCTTTTTTAGCAGAGATAGTGACTGAATCTTGAGAGTGTAATGAGTAGGGGGAGTTTCTGAAATGGATCTTGAAACTCCTGCAAACAAAATATTAGTACCAATGCACCATTAGGACATATATACTGAATGCATCATGCATGAATTCTAACTTTTAAATCCACAAAAGCGCACCATCTTCGTTGCAGAAATCAGCCATGACCAAGTATTTATTAGTAGGTAATCACGCCTTATCTTCAATTCATTTCTATAACCATTGGCTTGTTATTTATATGTATTGCCCAATTCATAAACCTTTGCTCCGAAAGTGCCTCAAAAAGTTATCCTTTGCTTAAGCCGGATTATGTTTCTTCATGTTAGCAAGCACGCATTCTCTGCTTGTCCTTCTGACAAACCTCCCAAAGTTTCCAAATGGTGGTTTCTTCCCTTTGGAGTTCATATATTCACACTCCACAAATTTAAAACGGCACTCCATCTAAAATAGATTCCTCTTTTCCCTTTTCTTCATAGTTTGTTACCATATTTTTTAAGTGGACCAATATAATATGTTTGCTTGTTATAGTTTAGGTCCGAGATACTCCACTTCATTCTTTTCATAATTAACAATTTAGTGATTTTAGTGTAGTTAGCAAAGAGAAGAACCATTTCTAACGGATTAGATTGGAAACTTCTAAATTGGCTGCACATATTAGAAAAAGGCAACCATTTTTGGATCTGAACGACGGCACTGGAGCCAAAGAGATGAGATGGACCCAGAGGCTGACTTAGAATTTCGAGCTTACAGGTTTTGAATTCTAGAAAAGACAGCTTATTAAATTTTGGATAAATTATTTATAAATATTAAGTGAATTTCTTTAACACAGCTGTAAAGTTTAAACTAATGCTATCGAGTTTTGCCGAACTATCGAAATGTTAGCTCCGCCACCAAAGGGGACCGAGAGAAAATGATCTTAGGAAAGAAGTCCGATGTTGACCACTTCATCTAAAAAAGTAAATTATAAAAGATATATTATGTTAGAGAAGAACTCTGGATTTATACTTGTAGTTTGCTAAATAGTTTACATTTACCCTCTGTTATACTTTCCGTTTAAATACACCTCTATCATTAACAAAGTAAGCAAAAATGCCTCCAGCCCTATCAGTTATCCGCGGTGGCACCCCGCCGCTCAATTAAAATGCCACGTATGAATCCAAATTATACACATGTCATTTTTTAGTTGGACATATACCCGAATTGTGAACTGCTGAATCAATTTCAGTAGTAATCACGTCCAATTCACACCCAATTAAAGAGTATGAAACGGTCGTTGCAATTATAAAATCCAATGCAAGCTGGGGTCGAATCCACAAGGAGTTTAAGTTGGTGTTAAGGTAAAAACTCAAGAAAAAGAACTTGAAATAACAAATTTAGCTTTCAAACAAGTGTGGATAATTGTTATCTAAATTAACTTCTAACAGATTGAACTAACTAGTAAGCAAATAGTGAGTGGAATATTTTTGATGTTTTTATCAAATAAGGGAAAAACCTAGGGTTGTAACCTTCACCTAGGTGTAAACCTAATAGGTAGAGTAAATCTATATTTTTTTTGGAAAATCGGGGTGTGGTATGACTCTAAATACTCAAGTACCCACTCAATACTTCTCGATCAAAGAGTGATTATGCCCAAATTGGTTTTCTCAAGACCAAATGTGTAGCAATCTAAACAATTGATATGAGTCCAAGAGGGATTATCCCTATCTCTAGTTCAAATCCTTTAATCAAACTAATCAAAACATCAACTAGTTCAATTTCTTCTTAGCCAAGTTTTTCTAGACTAGATTCCTCTTTCTCAAGTAAAAACTAAGTCAAATAGGCATGAATCAATATTTGCAACCATTAATTCTAGATATAAAGCATAAATAAGGCTAAATAACATAAACCCAATCAATAACAAGCATTAATATCAATACCCATAAGTTTTACACACTATGATTGGATCACAACCCTAGATAAAATCTAACTACTCATAATCTTAGACATAAAAATATTAAAAGAAGAAGTAATTGAAGACATAAAACTAAAATTAAAAGGTAAAATTAATGGGGTTTCTCCAATTGTAGTCACAAATTACCCAAAATAGCTAACTCTAACCACTCACACCTGCTACGTACAAAAGTTTCCCTAAAAAATTGTTTCTCATCTATTTATTGTGCTCTGAAATTTGCTGACAAGAATATCCTTCGGGAATTTCTGCGGCCGCGCATAAACTTCTTCGGCCGCACTTCAGCTTCTACGGCCGTACAATTTGGTTGTGAACCGCACTTTAAGGGAGCTTCAGACTTGTTCTTTTGCATCTTCTCTGATCTCTCAATCTTGTCAGTGCGAGCAACTTCTACGGTCGCACAATTTGGTGTGCGGACCGCACTGCTGTTAAAATCCTCTGAAGCTTCAGGGTTTAATCTGCGGTAGCACTTTACTTTTTGTGGGTTGCAATCTGCTGTTGCGGTCGCAGTTGGAATTCTGCACAATGCACTATTCTGTGCACTTTTCCTCTTGATTGTTTGACCTAGAACATCTCCTCTTTGAGTTAGATTTCTTCATTGAGCTCACATCCTCCAGCATCCCGGCAATTCACACATTGTCATCAGATTCAGAAACAAAAATCACTACTTTCGAACTAAAAACTAAAGCAAGAAGGCAATAATAAGTGATTAAATCCATAGTTATCAACTCCCCCAAACTTAAATTTTTGCTTGTTGTCAAGCAACTAGATTAGTTCCCTCCCCCCTCAGCGAAAGTTCATTTCAAAAAGTCACTTATAAGTCATTTATACTGTTCTTGGAACCAACTACTACCCACAATACTCATGCAATCTCAACAAGGTGTCAAAATTTTCAAAAATGTGCAACTTGCATGTAACTCTTGTGTGACATTTAAGCGTCAAGAATTGACTTCACTCATCAAGGGCTCTTGTTCTTTCATGTAAATTATGGTGGACTCCAAACTCTTTCTCTTATACCTTCCATTTTCCATAGTCACTTCAAGATGTAGCACTCAATTTCTAGAGCAATAAAGGTTTCACTCTTCTCTCATAAAGGAATGTCACAAACAAAGTTTCAAGTACCATGGGCTTGCCCCTCATGTGGATCTCCATTAATGTAAGCTTACTCGGTTCGAAATCAAATAGGACTTCTTTCGGGTTGTAATGAAGGCATTTAGATTGGGGTAGGATACCATATGAGATATAAGTGGTTACACCCTTCCTTAAGTACTCCACATCTCATTTCTTAGTTCACACTTGCCAAACCCTTAGAGGCATTTCTTTTTCTTGGGGGCTAGAGAAACTTTACATCACTCTTTATTATTCATTTCATTATTTTTCTCCATTGATTCTCATACTAGAGATACTTGCCTCACTTCAATTTCATCAACCTCCATTTTTTTTTCTTTTTGTGTTTTCTTTTTGTTCTTTCTCTTTCATGGAGATCTTTTTGTTTCTCTCCTTTCAATACCTTGGTACCTCTTTTAGGTTCCTCAACGTTTCCTCCAAACTTAGGCTTTGCTCCCTTTATTACATATGAGTGCTAAGGAAGGTTCAGGTGCCAAGAGAGGATTATGATCAAAATCGGGTACAAGATTATAGGAAGGTTATCAACAGAGAAAGGCTAACGACTCAAAGAGGTTGACTAGGATAACGATCATAGGGTGGCAATAGAAAGCTCAAACGGTCCAAGGAAAGCCTACAATTATTTTTCTAACCAAGCCATCTTAGAATTTCGCCTTGAAGCACATTCGGGGTAAGTTCTAGACTATTCACTCAAGTACTTGGACTAGAAACAAGATTTCATCTCACTTTCATATAACTAGACTGTAAAACAGGATAGAGTCTGAAACCCACAACAATCACAGTTAAGTTAAAGATCACTATGATTATCAAAGACAACTCAAGAATCTCAAAGTCACTTTTACTAGAGCTAATTCTTCCAAAACCTTGTTTCAAACCATAAGCATGCAATTTAGTTAGGGCTTTTATTCATTACTACTTACTACAACTATTACCTAAACATGAAACTGACCCACTTTCTTAAGAAAGTTGTCACACTATCATCCTCGGGAAGAGTAATCAGGTTCACACAAGAGACCACCTTTGGAAAGAACCGTGGTATTAAGAAAATCATAGGCTTATAATCAACAATAGTAAGAAAAACATGAAATTTTAAACTACCAAAACAAACAAAATTAAAGATACTAATAAATGTAACAAACTACTAAAGATAAACAAAAATAGAATCATTCAATTACTACATCCCAATGTTATCAAATCATCAAATATAGAATTCTCCCCCCCCCCCCCCCAAAATAGAAAGAAGCATTTTCCCTAACGCTTAGAATAATAAGATCAAAGAGCAGAGAGGGACGAAGAAACTTACTAAAGGTCCTCTGTCATCACAGTGTCACCAGCAGCATCAATCCCAGCTGGCTCAGCTAACTGAATCACATCATCATCCTGTGTAGGAGCTGCCTGAGAGCTGAACATATCACAAACTAACTCAGTAGTGCTGGATGCAAGGCAAGGCTCCTCAATATGAGCAGTGGGATCCTCATGAGAAGGCGGATCTGGGTGAGGCTAGGCGGGGTCCAATAGTATATCAAAGGGTAAATCACCGGCCTCAGCTATCCTAGTCAACTCAGATCAAAGTCCATCACCTGACTTCTTGCTGGCCTGTGACTTTCTCATATTCTTCAACTTCTTGGTCAACCGCTCAATCACTGCACCATGTTGTACCTATGTATCCATTATCACCTTCTGGTTGTCCATGATTGTGGCGAGCTTCTTATCTGTGTAAGAGGAGTCCATCTGTGGTTGTGAAGATGTCTGCCCTGCAATTATACTAGAGATCTCACACAGTTTTGAAGTAGCTTCCTACATCCAGTTGTTAAGGCTCACAAGTGTCTGAGAGACCCGCAAGGCAGACAATGGACCTGTCAGAATAGGCAATAGCCTCGGACCTGGTATAGGCACTGGCATAGGGGCTGAGGATAATGGCTCAGGAATGGTAGCTCTAACACTGGTGGAACGCTAAATTGAAGTAGATGGAATATTAGATGGACCAGGGGCTACAACTACTGGCTCATCAAACTGGCTAGCAGTAGTAGAAGGCTGAATGCTCTTCTTTGGGTTCCTCGGGTCTTGTAACTTGTACCACTCAAAAGGACCAGTGGCCTTGACTTTTGTGTCAAATGGCATGGACTCCACCTTGGC